TCCCTTTTTTGGTTGGGTGGAGCCCGAACTTGGGGGTTCTTTTTTTTTTTTTTTTATTGTTTGTTTTTCTTTGGGCCCAAGGCTTTTTTTCCCCCGAAATTTTTCGGCTTTTTTTCTTCACAATTTTTCCCCTCCAAGGGGGGGGGGTTTTGTTTTAGAACCCCCCCCCCCCGCGTTTTCCCACCAAAAAACTAAAACTTCCCCCTGGTAATGGAAAGGGCCAAGGAAAGGGTAAAAAATGTTTTTTGGGCCCCCCCCCCCCCCCCCCCCCCCTGCCCCCCTGACGGCGCTTTATGCACCTTGCCCGTACCCCGCTCTCTCTCTTCACGGGATTGTCATCAATAATAAACCATCCCTTCGTCAAATTTCCCCGATACTTGGAGTTTGGCCCCGCCTTACTCCTCCCCCCTACCTCCTCCCCGACTTCAACCGACAGCCAGACCCCACCATCGCCGCTACGACACCTCTACGCACACTCCCGGCAGGCAGCCCTAAAGGTCCGTAGTGGCACTAACCCCCGGCATCTCGGAAGCAGGCTCACAATAACTTCCTGCTTGCATAGTGCTTCTCATTTGAGTGCACAATTTTGTGCGATATTTCCTTTCTTTATGGTCTCGTCCCCCCCCGCCCTACCCCCCTGTGCTCGCGTGGAGTACACACATACATACATACGCGTCCCATGTGCTGTGCCCCCCCTCCCCCCTCCCTTGTAAGCTCTCACCTTACAAATCGTCCAGAAAACAATCAATCGAGGAAAGGCAGATAGATTTGTTGTCGTCCTCACATTAAACCGTTCCGGTCTCCGCTCAGCTTGCAGTACCTTGTATTATCCGTACTGGCCTAGATGAAGCAGACGGCGTCGTCAGTGGTCACAAGCCAACTACTACAGTACCACCCAAAGAAAAAGGGTACACTTCTTTCTACATAGAACGAACAAGTTATTTATTTATTTATTTATTATTTTTTCTCCCATCATTGGACCCTGTCGTCTGCCCCTCTGGCCCCCATCCTCCACTTCTACTAGCTTGACGACCCAACTGGGGCCACATAGGAGGGGGGGATTGGACCCCCTCATGCGGTTCCTGCCTGAGATATTCTTATCGCGAGAAGGGTACAGCAATCCCTTCCCTCGGGACTTATGAAGTAGATCTAGTTTATTTACTCACCACGAGGTTTGTTTGCAGGGCGTCGCTTCCAACTTAGACCAGGATTTATTTAGTGAGAAAGAGGTCTCACTTTGCCGGGACTCGAACCCACGACCCGGCCCTTAGTTGGCTGCGAGGGTACCCACTAGACCACCGGGGCGACTGGGTGCCAGGTATTATGTAAGATGATGTAATCGTCAAAATGCTGAGTCAAGAGCACCAACAACGCGTGCGTGCGTTCCTGACTTTTTTTCTTTCGCCTCGACCCTTTTCCAGCAGGGCGGGTTATCGCACAATACATTCATCTCCTCGTAGCGGAGAATGCCGTGTTGTTCTGTTGTACTCCACGCTTGATACACTTACGTTCATCGTGTTCCGTTGTCGTTTTGTATTGTGTTGTTGTGCGCATTGATTGCTGTCTCTTGCGGGCAGCAGGCGATTACAACCGGAAGACCGCAGCAGAACGAACCGACCACCGATGGACGGACAAAATAACGACAGACGAGACGACTTTGTCAAGCAAGACAGGGCGAGGAACCAACAACAACAACATAAAAAAACTAATTCTTACGACTGACAACGCGAGGAGGCGAGGTCGGTCGGAGGAGGAGGTCAAGTCGGGAGAAGGGCGAATCATCAGATGATGAGGGTTGAGACCACCTCGACCCGATAAATCCATCCCTCTCCTCTCTCAGTAACAACAGGGATGACCCACCACCCCGCGCATGACACCGACTCACTCACTGACTGCTGTTCGAAAGTAAATTACTTCCCTCCACACGACCACCAGAAGTAAGCACGTAACGATGATAGTAGTAGCTG